TACCCTATTTCTAGTAAGAACTTGAACATTCGCCAAAGTACATGATAGTTCTAGAAACGTTGCGTCACAGTAGTCATGTGACTCGATGACGCAACAATATATATATCACTATAGACATCTTTTGGATTTCATAGGTCAGGCTTATAAGCCTTATGAATTTATTTCTAAGTTCTTTCTTAACTTGAATATCTTTATGAAATTAATGTTTCCGATAATCTATTCATAATGATAATTCAGGAATAATTTTCTGATTTTAATGAAGTTTATGGTAAATGAGCAAAAGATATAAACATTTTAATAAAGTTCCATATCAAAATATAGTTTTCGTTTAATAGATACACAAAGAATTAGCGACATCTACACTTGCAGTTCCTGTTGTTAAAGCATAAGAATAGTTCCAGGCTGAAGAATACCCCCATGTCGCGAAACTGGTTTCATAAACAACTCCTTGTACTTATTAACACAAGTTAACAGACAAATTATAATCTCTCAAATCGAAGACTGGGCCATCTATTTGTTTCTTTTATTGCACTTGGAAGTGAATTTCTGTTATTTATTTGTCTATTTATTCTGTATCTATAACGCTTTCTTAATGTGGCTATATATTAAGAAGTAAAATCTACTAGAACAGTTGAAAATGTTCCAATGATAAATGTTTATTAGCAAGATGTAATCTGATTTTAATTATTTTCTGGATTAAAAATAAAAATTATTGTATTCGTCATAAAAAGTTCACTGATGCCTATAGACATACATATGTATATATATGTTTTCTAGCTAAGTTCACGAAGATCTGTCAGGGTTTATTGATGATATGTTTCTTGTTCTTCCATCATACTACTTTGAGTTTATTTTCCAGACATATTAGGCAAGAATGTTCACTAATGTAACTAACGTTTTATGTCTAACATTTTAAGCCCAACTGACGAGTTCTGGTACTAACGAAAGGCATCTTAGGCAGTGACTTGTGAGAGACAAAATATAGATCTGAAATTATGTTTTTGTACGCCTCTTATTTTGAATCCGAGCGAACAAATTAAGAGGAATGTGAGAAAAAACATCTGCAATTAGATGGTGTTATCAAATATCTTAGGCCTATTTGAATTTTATGCTTTGCCAGATTTGGGCGTTTAAATCGCAACTTTAATGTAACGTTTTGCTTAGATAAATGATGCCTAGTCACATATTTCACATTTCTGAATTAAAATTTTACATGTGTTCGTGTTCCCTTTCCTCCACTCCCCACCTCCATCCGTGAAACAATTGAGTCTTTTCTATTTGTTGTGTTCAAAAATTATTTTCATTTAAAATCTGGGTCAGTTATGAGAAGAAGGTTAATTAGTGATTTCCATTACTTATTCAAAATAAATGCAAATAATAGGATTTAAAAAAATGTTATTATATCGAATATTTGGTAAGAAAACATAATGACTTAAATCTTCAAATCCAATACATTCAATGTATATAAATGGAATTAGTAGTTCCTGTATTATGTCTAAATAATCTTAATCTTTGTTTAATATAGGAAGAAAAATGTATTCTCATTTTCTTCCAAACGATATGGATTTGAAAGTATTTTGCTTATAAAAATAGACACTAGATGGCAATACATAAAATGTACAAAAGATAATTTCTTTTAACATGCTTGTTTGTTTTACAGTTTTCGCATAAAGATATACAAGAGCTGTCTGAGTATAGCTTTATTAATTTCGATCTGATAGAAAAGAGAGAAGGCAGCTAGCCAACAGCACCTAATGCAAACTCTTAGCCTACTTTTGTCTGACCGAATAGTGGGAGTTGACCTTCACTCTGATAGCGCACCCACAGCCAAAAAGCTGAGAACGCGTTTCTGAAGCAGTGGGACGCGAATCATAGACCCTTGCTTTCATTCACAGTTTAGGCAAGTTAATAACTAGCTGGTCTTGTGACTAACAAATATTTTAGAAATCTTTGCAAATATGATTATTTATATATATGTATGGATATTTATATTTGTTATTATAATTATTATTTTAAGTGACTATTTAAACATTTAAAGAGTGTTAACTCCTCGCAGTGGCTCATCAGGAAGACTGTGGGCTTATAACGCTACAAATCGGGTTTATATACCCGTAATTGGACAGATAGCCCATTGTGTAGCTTTGTGTTTAACTACAAACAAACAAAAAATGCTCCATAAGAAGACTTGTGACAAAATTAAATTTATATTTTATTGTAGCTTAGTTTATTTCCTTCTCGTTAGAGGGCACTTGGTATTTCGCTGGCTAGTTTAAACCGGTCAACATACAATGCAGATTTGTTTATTCTATAACTGGCAAACTGCAATCGGTTTATTAAACTGAACGTCAGAAGTATTGTATATCGTACTAATTTAGGCCTAGTGTATGCGTGTTCAACATTGTAGTAAAACTAAAAGCTATTTTTTATCATTGATAATGAAGAAATGAAACTAATTTATGTAATTTAATGAAAAGCTTTTGCTTTCTATGAAATACTAATACTATGAACTTATATTAAAGTAAGCCAAATTTACTATTTTACAATTAAGTTATTAACATAGTAAGATAGTAATTAATACTATTAATGTTAGTAATAGTAGTAATACCAATAGTATTACTAGGCTGAGTACTTAAAATTTTAATGTTAGTTTGGTATCATAACTTATTTATAATATAAGTCTAAGTTATAATACGAAAATAGGCCAACATTAACAAAGCTATCTAGTGTAACATACAGACAACAAGGTACAATTTGGTCAGTTTCATGGCTGTATTTGCACATTCGTATTTGGGAAATGTAGAACTTAGAAGTTTAAACTCGCCCTTTATCTGTTAATATTGCTTATTATTAGGAAATCATCGATTCCCATATTGTTCTTAAAGTTGAAGTTAAACATATAAAACAATAAAGTGCCAGCCTTAATTACTGGCAGTACTGGTGTTGGCAAATCATTCCATACGACAATGAATCAGTGTTACTGTTAGAAAATTAAAACTGTTCTATTTTTTTAAATCATAAATTTGTATCTTTTCACCCAGAGGCATCATGCAGCTAATATTTTAAATTTTTGTGGGAGAAACAAAACAAAGTATTTTTGTTGTTGATGGTGGGTTAGTAATGATAAGACTGTGGCTATCATCACCAACAGAAAGGTGGCAGTAAAAGCCACTGACTTACTATTTCAACCAGCCAGTGGCAGTTACTGCTGTGGAAAAGCTATTGACACCAATATCAACAGTTTAATATAGCTTGCTTGACTAACCCCAATATTTCACGGAATTTGTTACAAAATGACAATATTAGTTATCATGAGCCATTTGATACTAGAAACAAGGAAGAATAACCATATATATACGTTGTGACAGCATTTTCTTCTTTCGAGAAACTTAAAATTAGTCTAGATCAATTTAAAAAGGAAGGATCTCATGATGAGAATTGTAGGCATGGGGACTTCCAAGGCAGACTATTAAAAAAGAATAAGGGCAGGTAAAAAGTTCCCAAAAAAATCAACCAATTTGTCACATTTGAATATACATACTACGGTGTGTGTGTGTGTGTGTTTTGTACACTGTGGATGTAGACGTACTAATTGATAGCATGTAATTGTAATAAATGTAGGCCATTAGCTGTGGTGAAATGTTTGTGTGATGATGTATTACTACATTGGTAAAGCAGTAATTTATTTGGGGTGCATGTGGTAGTATTTGTTTGCAAGGTGCTTGAGTTGGGACTTCCTGGCCTGTAGTTTAAACTGTTTAATTTACTGTTGTTTGTAGCATTATTCCTGGTTTTAATTGCCACCATCTTAATGGTGTCAACAGCCACTTTGTCATAATAATTATACAAATAATAATAAGTAGGGTACTTTTTGCTTTTCGTATTATTGAATTTCCAATGTTATTTTAACTTATGGTAGCCTATATTTGCAAGTATTTTGAACATATTCAATCAAATGTTTATACATGAATTTGGGATTAAAAGTGTGAAAAGTATTCGAGTGGTGTGGGGTCGTGGCCTATGGGCATGACACTTATTGCTGTCAGCCTGTTGTTTTCAGAAAGTAGCAAAAATAAAATAGAAGTATTTATTGCATGAACGTATCAGGTGTCTAAAATTTATAAGACAGTATACTAGCTATGTATCAGGTGTCTAAAATTT